GTATACCAGTATACCAGTATACCAGTATACCAGTATACTGGTATACCAGTATACCAGTATACCAGTATACCAGTATACCAGTATACCAGTATACTGGTATGCTAGTATACTGGTATACTGGTATGCTAGTATACTGGTATACTGAATATATGATAGCCGGACGTTTCACCTTCTTGTGTTGGCGGCAAATTACTGAAACTGCAGTCATGGCTGCCTTTTTTAATACAACATAATTTCTTCAATATTAGTGTTGATACGAAATGAACTTAAAATTACAGTAATGAATAACACTAATAATTCGACAAAAAAATTATTATTTGTTATTTGTGAAAAGATAATTTAAATTGCATACATCAAAAGAATTTACAATTAGTTTAAATCGAATATTTCTTTCAAGAATTCTTGCCAAATGAGCTGGCTTCGGATCAGTGTAGGTCTTGACTTTGAGCCCTTTAAGAAGTAGTTTTATAGCCAATGTGACTTCTCTTTTAATACCTAAAAAGTACTTCCCTGCAGTCTGTATTCCAGGCTGGTCAGCTGTAAAACTTCTAAAACATGTACAGTTTCGTTGTTTATGTTGGGTTCATTATTCAAAATCTCATCACAGACATCACAAATTTCTAAAGGAGCCTCGGGGGTTATGAAGCTTTTGGTTTCCTTTTTAATATAAGGGTTCTCAACATAATTCTGGCAGTACTGGAAAAAAAATCTCCATTCTGGAGAGAATTTTTTTCCGCATTTTTCGAAAACAAAACAGCAAGGTTCCTTCATGACAATTATTGAAAAACTGGAAATGTGTATAATTTTTGTTTACATCAACCACTGTACACGCTGTACATGTGTTTAATGTATACAGTGCATTTAAATTGATTTTTTGTGGATTTTTTTTTTAAATATGCAAGTCTCGGCACACCCTATCCCAACAGAAAATATGTTAGTTTCAGCAAGTTACCAGAACTGTAAAAATCAAGCATTTGCAATCAAGACAAGAAGGTGAAACGTCCGGTTATCGAATATTTTACTGGTATTCTGGTATACTGGTATACTAGTATGCTGGTAAACTGAATATATTACTGTTATACTGGTTTACTGGTATACTGGTATACTGGTATACTGGTATACTGGTATACTGGTATACTGGTATACTGGTATACTGATATACTGGTATACTGGTATACTGGTATACTGATATACTGGTATACTGGTATACTGGTATACTGGTATACTGGTATACTGGTATACTGAATATATTACTGGTATACTGGTATACTGGTATACTGGTATACTGGTATACTGATATACTAGTAAACTGGTATACTGGTATGCTGGTATACTAGTATACTTTTTTATGGCTGGTCGTAATTGAAAATTTGTACCTAGAAAAAATGTAAATTTTTTAATCTTAAAAGTATATCAGTGTAAACAGAAAAATATTGAATTTTTAGTAAATGATAAAATTTTATTTTTGATTTGCTCGAATTTCAGCAATGCCAATAAATTGTCTTAATCAATATATTTACATGTTGTGGTTCTTGTGCTCTCTAAAATGTGACAAACACACTTCCTGATCTTATAGGATCACCGGGAAGCTGCAAACTCGGTATTCAACTTCAACCTTTTCTTGTGTATATATGATTTTCAATTACAATCAGAACTCTAGCAATTTTGAAGTTTTTATTCTCATATTTCTTTATGTCGTACCTACCTCCCCCTCCCTGGCCTCGCCCTCCCCCGCTCCCTCGATCCCCCCCCCCCCCCCGTCCTGAGAAATGTGTTGAATGCTATAATCTAGAATATACTGCGACAATTAATGACTGAACATTTTTCAAATATCTCCTGTAAATACAAGTATTTATAATGTCCATCTTATTTTCACTCTGGGTTAAATGTCTAAAATTATAATAAAGAAAGATATGATCTTTAGACAGTATAGACTTGTTAAATAGGGATATCTTGCCAAGTGTAATCATGTATGATTTATGAATTTAAACTATTTTACCAGCACCAACTTGTTACAGAGATTGTAAGCGTAATTTAAAATGACCGCCATTGATCCGATTCACAACTATACCCTTAAAAGCTTTTTTCAGATTAAGATTAAATAAGATATTCATGTTTTTGTTTTTGAAAACTTCTTTTTTTCATTTGTGGTTCACTGCAAAAGTGACTTCAACAACTATTCCTTAAGAAAAAACACTTTTCAACACTGAAAACCAAAATGTTAAATCGTAAACCCAGTCCGTGAAATAAACGTTTAATTGTAGTTTTGAATATTTAGAATTCTTGGGGGTAGAATAACAGGCGTAGTTTCTGTCAACAGGAATTGATTGCGGATTCAGTTCATTTTCAGATTAACAACCATGTTTTTTCTTGGTTAATTTAGCAAACTAGTAACCTTTGTTTTCAGGCAAAAATAATCAAATAAATTTCTTTTTAAAGATCAAAAATTGAGCAACATTGAGAAATTAAAAATTAAAAATGAACTAATTCTCACTCCTGTTTATAATCCAGCCTCAGCCCTATACAACTAAACCAATTTTACTATTCTCAATTATGCTTTAAAATTGAATTTAATTGTTCCCCTGTTCAAAGTGTTATTCACAAAGTGATATATGATTCCAAGGATACCTTCATTTATGGTTTACAGCAGACATTACTCAAATCATATGAATTATACCAAAAAAGACAATATTCAAGACAAACTATACCAACTTTCAAAGAAAAAGATTTTCATGTTGTCATTATAGTCTCATCCTGTGTAATAGGACAATATTCCGACATTATATATATTTCAAGAATGCGATAAGGTCTGATACATGGATACAGGATACAGGGATACAGGATACAGGATACAGGGATACATGATAGAGGATGCAGGATACAGGATGCAGGGATACAGGGATACAGGATACAGGGATACAGGATACAGGGATGCAGGGATACAGGATAAAGGATACAGGATACGGGATCCGGATTACAAGATACAGGATACAGGATACAGGATACAGGATACAGGTTACAGGTTACAGGATACAGAATACAGGATACAGGATACAGGATACAGGATACAGGATACAGGATACAGGATACAAAGTCGGCGAGAAGCTGGGGCTCAAGCAACTATACCTTCGGTAATTATTGCTATTGCTGATTAATAAGAAGGTTAAAGAATTTTAAAAGATTTTAACAAAAAATTAAAATAGATAAAATCAAAGTATCTATATTCAAATGTGCGAAATGATTTTAAACGAAATTCGTTCAAACGCGTATATATATAACCAACAAATCTTAAAATTCCCTGAATTTTCTTTTGATTTGTAAAATTTTTGTTGATCTAATTCTAGTAAAATTTTAAATTACAATTGTTTGCATTTAAAAAGTCAACTTAAATCAACTATCAAGAGGCTGAAGAAGTTTATATTAAACATGTTAAAATTGGAAGATTCTATAGGACTTTACTAAGCAACACGAAATAAAATAACTATTTATCTCTTCATTACAGGGGGGCAATACATATAGGAAGGAATAATACTACATTAATTCCATGAAAATTCCATCCGTCAAGAATATCGAGCATAGCGAGGGGGAAGCCTTAATTTAAATCACATTTTTTCCTTTCAATAGTAATCATGTAAATTCATATTTTATTTGTTCTTTATTTTATTTTGACATCGAGGGATGGGGTGCAGAGCATCCATGAGTCCCGCAAACTGATCTCCGGAGCCTCCTAATTTGCAGAATGGTCTTCAGGTCAACTGTTAGCCAATCAAAATCGTCTCCGATTCTCATGCTACGTCTACCAGGCTCCCCAACTCCTTCTCACGTCAAGCAATTCGATTTCCAAAAACAAATATTTGGCTTTTTTTCGAAAAATCTAAAGTTTTGATAAAGTTTTTAATGGTACATAAACAATAAAGTAAAAGTAGACTTTTGAATACAAATTGTTTATGTACCATTAAAAACTTTATGATCATGTTGAGATTTTTTTGGTGGATGTAAAAGCCAAATTTGTTTTTGGATATCATGGATTACTGGACATGGAGGCAGAGCTGGTTACCCTTGCAGGCGTAGCATGAGGCTCGGAGAAGATTTTGATTGGTTAGGAGTTAGCTTGGAGGCCATTCTGCGAATCAGAAGGCTTCGGAGGTCAGTTTGCGGGGCTCATGATGCTCTGCCCCCCTCCCTCTGACACCCTTTTGACATCCTTCTGGATTTTCCATTCTGGAGGGATGATTTGAGAATTTTTTTAAAAATTATTTAAACAGATAAAATAATAAATAGGCGAGAAATTATCGGAATTAAAAACTTTTCGAGTCAAAAAAGGAAATGGAGCGTTAGTTGAAATTACGCGTATAGTCCCTTTAAGCGTGAAGTTTAAGATAGATACAAAATTATACAAAATTTATTATTTTTTGACACCCTGTACTTCTAGTTCTGCTTAATCCTACGTTAATTCGAACACTGTGTTTTATGTGCTTGGATTAAAACTCTTGAAATTATCCTTTATTTCTTCCAATCTTGAAACTTTAGAAAACCAGAAAATATTATTAAAGGGACTGTTAGCGAACTTAAAAAGATGGCATTGATGTACAACGGTGCACCCTTAAAAGCTTTGTCTAATCAAATATAAATTAGATTTAGATATCCATGTTTTTGTCCAATTTTTTTACTTTATTTTGTGGGTTTTCTGAATAAGTACTTAAACATTTTTTGCTTACAAGTTATAATATTTAGTCGGGTATATACTGC